CATCATAGTCTGAAATCGAGGATCTGACGTGCTGACCGCATAACCGAAATACTCCTGAAAGTACATGTCAAGGCGATAAACAAATGCTTCCTTCAAAGGACAGCTGATTAATATGCGTCATGCTTCGTTCCGATGGTACATGGCATGATGAAAGAATTTACCAATGCTTTTGTTGGAGATCAGAGCAGGTAGTGGTCCCCAATACATTAATCTGATTATAACTAAATACTACAGTATTTCAGTACCAGCAGATTTCGTGAATAACATCAAATTTGAAAGATCCACTACTTCTAACTAACTAAATTCCAACTACTTCTAACTAAACTGCTTAAGAAGAACGTTCATTTAACAGCTGCAGAAACAATAATACGAACAGTTCAATCTAAATCGTACGTAATATAACACGTTTATCGACTCAACAAGCTTCTAATTCGCCCTTGGGATCTGTATTATGTCGATCTTTCTCAGGATATATGGTTTGTGCTGTTGGCAGTCAACCGCAGATGTTCTCATTTTGGTACCCGAAAAAGCTGATTCCGGGCTTCCTCTGAAGGAATCAGTAACGGCGGCGAGTTTCTTTAATCTTGCAAACGGGTGGTGTGGTGCAGATAAGTTCTTCGTTTTCCTTCATATCTGGAGTAAAATGAGTCAGCACATGAACAGACAAATCATAACCATGCTAAACTTTCGACCTACGATAAGTGTCACAAGATAAATGCACGCAGCTGAAATTTAGAAACATCGAATATGGCGGTCAAGTAAAAGTGGCATCTAAGTATACGTAAAGCGTTAACACTCGATTTAATGTTTTAATTTACAGCCCTTTAAAGAATATACTATCGTTCTAGTCATATAGAATGGATACATCTGGGATGGCCTAAACAAAGGGTAGAGTGGAATAGTTCAATCTATGTATCAAATGCCTTGAGAAGGTGCAATATGAGGAATTTAGTTTCCTGCATCTGAAGGCAATCAGCCGAAGAAGCTCCTGCTAAAATGTACGAATTCTGTCAGTTCACTGAAAAGTTCAGGCCAAGTTCTTCGACAACAATAATTATTGTTTTATAAGGAAACTTCGGCGGGGTTAAGAGCCTATATTTCGTCAGTCATAACCTGCTTAGGCTGAATAAGGTCCATATGAGCCACCACAACGTAGGAATAGCAGTCAGCGAATAGCCAAAAAAGTAGCGGATAGCACTATTCAAAAATTAATTCCTGTAATGTAATATTGCTCGACGTGAAATTCTAATCATCTGCCACTACTTTGTATGGCAACATTGACGTTTCAGGCAGCTCATGTTACCAATCTTCACGAATGAAAATGACATTTAAGAAACAGTTTAAATTATAACATTCTAGTGGTTCAAGCCAAAGGTAGTCCATGAAAGTATTACATCATCTTAAAGTAAAGAAAAAATGCCACTAGCTAAAAAAGGAAACTAAAAATTGCAGCGGTCACCTAGCGCTGTACATATTGCCTTTATTCTATAGCTTTTTTACGTTCAACACACGTTAGAACCGCTAGTGGCACAGTAACTAAGAGGCGAACTTCGTACTCCGGAGGGGACGGGTTCGAATCTGGAGGATGAACGATCTTCGTTTTAACCACGCATCCCACTGAGCAAGAAATTTACCCCACGTTGCTTCGATGCAACCAACCGCGAAGCGGCTCGTAAGTCTGTGACCGACGAATAAAAAATACAGCATCGTATTTTGGAGTCGCCAT